ACGGACTTCTCAGAAGCTCATAAAATAAATGGATTCTAAACCTTTCTTGGTCTTTGGATTCATTCATTGGCATGCATGAATTACATTTAATGACTCTTGCATTGCTTGAAGTGAAGTGGATGGTCTCATGGCCACCTTTGCATGAGAACAATACTGCACTACTTTTTCTTCACACAGCTTCTTAAACACTTTTTGCAATATAAATTAACAACTCCTGAAATTAAAATTAAATCTATTTTCTAAAATAAAGACAAGTAACACTTTAATCCTTCTATAAAGACAATTAGTAAGCTATCCACCTAATTTTGTTTTTTTACTTTCTAATTTTCCAATATTTCCACCAACTTCATATTTTATCATTACCTTGACGACGATAATTGAGTTATAATGGTTGCTTCTAGGTGGTAGATCTTTGACAGCTAAGACAATTAGTTGGATTGCAATTGCTGAGCAAGGAATGACCTATTATTTGAGCCACTTTAAATTCATTCATGTTGCAGCCTCTTCTGATTATACTAAGTATAGCATGATATCTTCATGGACACAACCGACACGTGATCTCAATCCATTAGTTGGGGTAATTAGTCAACTGTGAGATGAGATAGTCCTTTAAATACTCAGCCTAGATCAGATCTTCTATCTGTTATTTAGCTGTGATGGTACTTAATTCACCAACTTCTTTAGATTCCTTCAAGGTAGGAAGCAGCCTAGAGTTGGCAGTTTCTTTGGAGGGTGAAGATCCAAATGTATGCTGGGAAAGGAAAGAACACCACCTATCTATAGGGGAGATGATAAGTGTCGAAGGCCTACCATCAATTTTTGGATCTTCTGCTAGAAGCACACCTCCATATATTGCAAATGTTATATTTTTGTGTACTTACATTACTGGATGCACCTGTGTGGACTGTGCCATCAATGGTTGATGCTCATTCATTTTATATTGACCACTCATTAAATGTTAAAGCCTAATCTGGCTCAAGAAGTTACGTTTGAGCTTCCTTAGACCTGGATTGATAAGAAGCAAGAAGCAATGAGTCAATGAATAATAATAATAAAGTAAAATGAATTTATTTATTCAATGGAGGAAAAGATGGTGCCCGAGTGGATCATCCGTTACATGAAGGAGAAAATGGGGAGACAAAGGAGAAAGTGGGGAATAAGGAAGTCAAGGGCAACACATGAAGAGCTCATGCGTCTATTTAAGAGAAGTGACTAAGAGGGGAGATTTACTTGTGCGGAATAAGGAAGTCAAAGACAACACATGAAGAGCTCATGCGACTATTTAAGAGAAGTGACTGAGGGGGGAGATGTACTCGTGGGAACGAGACATATAATAGGGAGTTGGATTGAGCAATGCTACGTGTGAACTCTAGTGAAGCTGGAAGCAACGAAGGCATGGATTCAAGTAGGCGCAATATGCTGTCAGGGATGGTTATAGAGTTTGAAGTGTGAACTGGGGTGATTAAGTAATCAGTGAGTTTTGAAAAGTCCATAAGGAAGAAGAGGTCGAATCAAGCAGGATGATGGTGTGTGCCGGCTGTACTTCAAACTAATTTGAGCAAAGCATCAATCAGTCACACGATTGTGGGTGACGTGCTGAGTTGAGGCATGGGTGAGCAAGTTTGGCTTTTATAAGTTGGATCGAAGTGCTCAAATATATGCTATCAGTGGGAGTGATCATATCAACACTGATAGAGATGGGTAAATTTTTTTTTCTAGTCTTCTTATGTACAAATTGCAAATCCTAAACTTAGATCTTTTTTAAAAAGAGATTTTGGAAAATCCTAAATTATAATTTTGAACAATAAAATGCAATAAAAATTTAAATTAAAAACAATAAAATTAGAGGGAGATTCTCATTAATTATAAAATCTAACTATTTGTTTTCTTGCAAATAATTCAGATAATGTCGGTCAGCTGCTCAAGAAAATTTTTCTCTACAAATTCCAATCAAACTTGAATGTCTATAGAATATTAAATATAAATTGTGTCTTGTCATGAATTGTGTCATATAAAGTTTGAAGAAACCTGAACCAAATTTCATTATACTCCTATTCAACTATAACAAAAACTAGAGGATAAAGATCACTGTTTGTATTAACTCAAATAGCAGAAAATACCTTTCTTCTATATTTATTTGGTAGCAATGTTTCATCTTAGTGACAAAATGCAAAATGAATATATCCGTGATAGGGTTGGTGTAGCTCCTGTGACGGACAAAATTAGAGAAAGTCGTCTTAGATGGTTTGATCACATTAAACATCGACCATTTTGAAGATCCGATTAGGAGAGTAGTTGTTTTAGATTCGACTTACGTTAAGAAAGGCAGAGGTAGACCTAGGAAGGCTTGGGCGTATTGTATAAAAAATGATCTTAATTTATTAGAATTAAATGAAAATATGACACTAAATAGGACGCAATGGAGAAAAAGGATTCATGTAGCGACCTCACATAGTGGGATTAAGGCTTTGTTGTTGTTGTTGTTGTAATGTTTCATCTAACCTTAGCAAGGACTGACAGTGAGCACATTCAGCTATTGATGGTCCAAATCTCCTGAAGATATGCCTAAAACAATTCAATTGACCAACCTGAATTTTTATGCTGATTCTTGCACTACTGAATATATTTCCCTTGTTAGTCTGTATTAGGATTGATACATTTCTGTACAATTCTTGAATATGGTTCTAATAAAAATTTTCCATGCATCCCAACCTTTCATTTATGAGATCTTGAATTTGAATTCTACGCGATCTATAATTTCTTTTGACTTTCAATCAAATTGCTAGCGAATATTAGGCAAGAAAAAATAATAAATAAACTAAAGAGGAGCACTGTTTATGCCCTTTTGTAAAATGGGATGAGTGCACGTGTGCAAGATGGCTATATCTGAAATTTGGATACTAAGACTTTTTCTATTAGGTGCGTGCAACCTCAAATGACAAGGTTTAGATGGGTGATCATTCTAAGCACAAATAACTGTGTATTGACTCTTATTTAAGTAGATTATCTTATACTCTAAGTTATTTCTAATCTCCCCAACATATAATATAAATTGGAGTTCTAACATACTAGGAATGAATATATTTTTCTGCAAATCATCCGTTAAGGTCTTCCTCATATGACATTACATTTGTGATTCATTAAAGTCAGCACATTTGTTCCACTCTTTTTCCGTACGACAATATTACATATAATCATTTATAGATATTGTGTCCACACTATTTAAATTAATGAATGCTTGAATTTGCATTAAGTCTTGACTTGAGAGTAATCGATCTTCTAGTTTTGTCATAATCTCAATTTTTAAGAAATTATCACCATCATTAAAATCTCCATTGGATTATTTTTCAATTGTTTTATAACCATTATTAATTGGGTGAAAGAGATTGTCAACTTCTGTCCTATCATTATATTGCTAAAATGCTATACTAGCTTTATTCGTACCAACAGGATGTGCTGGCTTGCTATAAAATTAGCAGATATTGAGTTAAAAAAGTGTATATAATATTAGATATGTATTATTGAAATTTAATTAATACTTCTGTAAGCCTTACTGAAACATCTGTATATAAGTTCTTTAGATAGTTGATGTTGATCAATATCAGAAGATGTAATACCTCGTTGAGTTGCAACATTAATATCAATATATTTACTACCAATAAATGGAACTGCATCAACGCATACAACTAAAGGTTTATTGCATGTCAATAATTGTAAAATAACTCTGCTAACTTTATCATCGCCAAAATGTATCTCTATGTATCCATGGGCCTGAGAAGATTGACAGATCAAATTTACAATGGCTATGGCAATACTAAAATTTAAAGTCTGAACTATTATACTATTGAAGTTTGCAAATACTCTCTATTGAAATTTGGAGTGATCAACTTTTTCTGTTCATATATTTGGGAATAAATTCCTCTAAAATCGTTTACTCCTCATCATATCATAGAATCAAAGCTGCAACTTCTTTATTCAATTTATATTTCTATTCTGTTTAGAAAAAAAAAAAAGATTAGTTTCAGAAAAAAAATATTTGAACTAACTTTTGTATTTATTATATTAACTAGCATCAAATGCTTGTCCGTAAACCTAACGATTGGGTTTATGAATAATTACTGGTGCCTTTTGGCTCATACAAATGCACTTGATACTTCTGTGTACCTTTAATTTGATGTTCACTAATCATTATATTCTCAGCCACTGCATGTACTTTATTGGGTCAGAAGTTAGATGCAAATTTTTTCTTTTTTCTTATTAATTTATCCTAGATCATCACAAATTAATTATATCGTTGGTTCTTTCTAAATCTCTTTCTTCTCATAATATATATTTCATAGATTTATTTGTAAGTTTTGGGTTGGATACAATAGTCCTAGGTTTTCTTTGCTGATTTTTTTTTACATTTTAATTTTTATACTACACTAAATAATGCTCATATGTGACCATGTAATTGTGTCTAATAGGCATTTCATGGTTCATATTTTAAAGAGTTTTGATGCTAATTGTCTGTTAGATCTTATCCATATCCATTTTTGGGCAATGAATTTGTGATGCCATATGATCTTCTAGCCATAAAATTAGCTCATCTCTACACAGTATTTGAAATAGTGAAGTGCCAAAATAGTTCCCTGACTGTTTGCATGGGGCCATTTTAGTCCTTGATCTATAAAATTTAGCTTCCAAATTTAAATTGTGGTTGAAATAATTTGCAGCCCATATTAAAATTTGGGGGTTAAACTGACACTTGACTCTGAGACTAAAATGACCCCATTTAAAGAGTTAGGGGATTATTTCAACACTTTCTCATTTTTGAAATATTATTTTATTTGCCATATCTTATCTTCTAAAACTTTTGTAACACACCTAAATTGGCAGGCATTTCCAAGCATGATTTGTGCTATTTATGTTACCTTTTTTTTTTTCTCGTACCACTCGTACCATAGGTTTGTATGTTGTCTTATTTTCATATCTTGGCTTACACTAAATTTTTGTTTTAGATCCCGAGGGAAAGTATCAAGCACTAGAAAAGTATGGTAATGACTTGACGGAACTCGCAAGGCGTGGCAAACTAGATCCTGTCATAGGCCGCGATGACGAAATTCGACGCTGTATCCAGATACTTTGTAGGAGAACAAAAAACAATCCTGTGATTATCGGCGAGCCGGGGGTTGGAAAGACTGCTATTGCTGAAGGGTACTTTCCCTGAAGTTTATTTGATTTATTGTCGCTGAAAAATAATATTGTTAATTTGGACCTATCTTTTTCATGTACCCTATTTCTATCTGAGATGCAAATGAGATTTCCTAAAGTTAGCATGATTTGCATTCATTTTTCTTTTAATCATTTTGACGACATTGCTATCTAGTATTTGGCTAAATGTTTTTTGGAAATTTTGTTTTTTTTTTGTTTTGTTTCTACGGGACTGCAATACTTTTGAGTCCTGATTTTTACTGTTGTTGTTCTACAGATTAGCTCAAAGAATTCTTCGCGGAGATGTCCCCGAACCCTTGATGAATAGAAAGGTAATAAACTTTTTCTGTTTGAATCGCTTTCCTGTCTTAGAACTCAACCTTAAATATGCTGTGATAGTAGCCCTATCGTACACTGATAGCCAGTATAACAATGATTATATCTTGTCTACAGAAAAGACGTTTTCTGGCATTCTACTTAATCAACTAAAGCTTCTTTTGCTTTAGCTAAATCTGAGATTTTACAATCCAAACAAATTTGTGTCAATAATATCAGGTTACCTTTGATTTTTGTTCAATTGGCTCGTTTCTTAATGTGTGCCGCTTATAAATCTTATTCATAAAGGAACCTAATGTAAAATAAGTGGAACTGCTAGATTTAGAGAGGGAATGCAAGTTTGATATACTTGTTTTCTTAAAATAGATAGATTTTTTCATCTTTATTAGTCTTTTCACCCATCCATTGTTGTCTAATGTGCTTGTACTTTGATGCCACATTTAGTTTTTCTGGAAAATAGAAATATGCATACTTTCTTTCTTTTTTTCTTTATTATACGTTTAAAGTTGAGTAGCACAGTGTGATGGCGACCCTCATGCAACTTATTTGGTGGCTGTTATGATTCTCTTGTGTTCGGTGATCCTTATTTTTTCTTTATTATGTAGCTGGCTTTGGTGATCCTCTCTCACCTTTTATGTGGATTAAAGAATCTTCGCCTATCATTGGGCTTTTGGTGGCTCTGGTGATTGATGTTTCATTGTAAATTTTTTTTTTTCTGTTTATTCTATAACTGGTGAATCGGGAGTATCATGCGGCATTGTGATTATATTCTAAAGAAGATAGAGGCATTTATGTACATACCACACATCTTATATATTTACATATCTAACTTAAACTTTTATATTTACATACATAACACTAAAATCTTTGACATCATATAACAATACTACCATCACTAACTTTTGAAGGACATCTTTTTGAAGAGAATTGATTTGGATAGGAATAATTCTATTTTGATTGTATTATTCATATGTAGGGTACATATTTATAGAGAAAATATTCTCTCTTAATTTACAAACTTATCCAGCATATCTAACTTACATTTGGAAAGGAAGTCATTTTGAAATAAAAATAAAATAACATAGAATAGGAAGGGAATAAGCTAATCAAGGGTTTTCTAAGCTGCCCCAATCAAATTCTCCACAAATTCTTCTCAGATTTCCACACTCCCCCTCAAGCTGGATCGTAGATGTTGTAGAGACCAAGATTGATATTGAACTTGGAGATGGTGCTTAAAGGAAGAGCTTTGGTGAAGACATCAATAACTTGATATGTCGTGATGTAGCTTAGTTGTATAATTTTCCCATTAACCTTTTCAGAGATGAATTGTCTATCAACTTCAATATGCTTGATCCTGTCGTAATGCACAAGTTTCTTGGTAATACTGATAGCTGTTTGACTGTTACAAATAATCATTTTAGTTCTTTTGGAGGTACATCCCAGTTTCTTTAATAATTTTTGAATTCAGACCCCTTTACAGATTTCTAAGGAGAGTGCCCTATATTTCGATTCTGCACTGCTTGTAGAAACAATATCTTGCTTCTTACTTCTCCATGTCACTAGATTTCCCCATACATAGGAGCAGTAACCAGTGACGAACCTTCTGTTAGTAAGTTTCACAGCCCAACTATCATCAGCATAAGTTTTCATCTCTCTGCTCCTGGTTTTCTCAAAGATTAATACATAAACAGGAGTCTTCTTGAGAAATTTCATTTGGGCTCTGTATGTGTTGGCTCACAATACGGACAAAGTATGTAATCTCTGGCCTTTTATGTGATAGGTATATCAATTTACCTGTAACTCTTTGATATATTCCCTTATTCACAAAGAGGCTTTCTTCTCCCCTTTTTGATTTATGGTTGAGATCCATTGGAGTATCAACACTTACAATCCAATCATCTCTATTTCTTTTAGTAGGTCTATGATGTATTTTCTCTATGATATAACGATGCGTTTCTTGGACTTTGCTACCTCCATGCATAGAAAATATCTCATGGTTTCTGGGTCATTGATTTCAAACTTCATGACAAGCACTTCTTTGATCCTGAGAATATCTTTTTCATCATCAACTGAAAGAATCATATTATTCACATATACTATCAAATCAACAATTTTGGCTTTCTGAGTGTATTTTACAAACAAAGTATGATCAGCTTGACTTGAGAATATGCACTATATCTCATAGTTTTAGCAAATCTTTCAAGGGTGATCAGCTTGACATTCTCACACTCTCTCTCCCTTCTTCTCCCTTTGTCACTTTTGCTCTCTCACTCTACTCTCTTTATCTTGTTTCCTCCAACTCTTCTCTCACTCTCCCACTTTCCCACTCTCACTCTTACCCTCCCTCACAATTCTCTCACCTCTGTTTCTCCTTCTCTCATGATTTCTCTCTCACTCTCATTTTCTCTCAGCTATCCATATAGAGATTGTCTGAGTTTCCATACTAGGTGTTTGTTGAAATCATTCTCAAGTCCTGGTTGTATCCATATTTTTATATCAAGTTGATATAGTTCTCATTCCTTGTTAACTGTAATTGGACGGAGAATTCCGATCGTGTTAAGTTTGACAATTGGTGCGAAGGTTTTCTGATAGTCCATCCCATAGGCTTGAATGAAACTTTTTACAATAAGTCTGACTATGAATCTCTCAATACCCTCATTAGCTTTATATTTGATGTTGAACACCTATGTGCACCCAACCGAATTTTTATCCTAAGGGAGTTTAGTAAGAATTCATGCACCCTTCAACAACATTTTCCAATCTGAATTTTAAGAGCTTCATGAATAGATTTAGGAATCCAAATACTATCAATGTTAGAAAAGGAAAAATTGTTGGAAGAGGATAGCTTTTCATAAGCTATATACTTTTGAATTAAATATCCAATACAACTTTTCTTGTCACCAGCATTAGGAGAGTACGGGGATAACTCTTGAGTAGTCGACTCCTTACCCGAAATTTCAGGTGAATGCTTACTTGAGTTTTGATCGGAATAATTATGTCCCTTGCAAGTCGTCTTCCACTTACTTTTCTTCCTCCTCGTGTACTCAAAGTTCTTTGTTTTGGACTTTATGTTGGGTTGATTTTCTTCCTCCTCGTGTACTTAAAGTTCTTTGTTTTGGACTTTATGTTGGGTTGATTGCGTTGGGCATCCTCAACCAGGATAGGAGGGCTAGGTGGAGTAGGTGGTGTGGCCGTGTAGGTGTCATCAAGTGCATCCCAAAATTGTTGTTCATTTGCACTCTCCCCATAAACATCAGATTTGGGATAATATAACTAATTTTCAAAAAAATGTGTCATCCATGGAGTTGTATTTTTTGGTAACAGTTGAGTGTCACTTATACTCTTTTTTATCAGTGGCATACTTAAGAAAAATACACTTGATAGCTTTATGTCAAGTTTTGTGCGATTTTAGGAATGGACATGAACAAATGATACAACCCAAAAATTTTAAGTGGTATAGTAGAAGAGAAAGCTTTGATGTGAGTGTGGGTAACCATCAGAACACGAAGACCCGTTTTGAAGTTAATTGCTCGACTAGGCCTTCGATTGATAATATATGTTGCAGTAAGAACTGCTTCCTCCCATAGATATTTTGAAACTTGATGGGACATTATGATTACGGGAGATACCTCAAGGAGATGTTTGTTTCTTCTCTCAGCTGTAATATTTTGTTGCGGGTTCTTAATATAGAACTTCAATGGATGAATTCCTTTTTTTAAAGATAGGACTCAATGATGAAATTAAAATATTTCTTTGCATTATTAATTTTTAAGATCTGAATTTTGTATTGTAATTAAGTTTGAATCATTTTATGGAAGGTTTGAAAGATTTGAGTTGTTTCGAATTTCTTCTTAATTAGGAATATCCAAGTAGTTTTAGTGTGATCGTCAATAAATGGGATAAAACATTTTGCCCCACTTAGGGCTTTCACCTTTGAAGGTCCCCAAATATTACTGTGGATGATGAGGCATGAGACAACTATTTCTAGTGTGTTTGATAAGTTGACAAATCTCACATTGATAAGAACCAGGGTTTTATAGATAAGGAAATGAGTATATAATTTTGCGACTTAATTAAAAACATGACCTGCTTTTCAACATTATAGTGTCAACAGACTCGGAAATTTATGACCAAAATGGAGGTGAGATCATTTGTATATTTAGAGAGATTTTCGTTTAGCGGGTATAAGCTTTTTGATGCATTTAGCTCTGCCAATTACCATCCCCAAATTCATCATCTAAAATTTATAAGAATGTGTAAGGAATTTAGTTATACATTTGATATCATTAGTAAACTTATTGATTGCAGTTCAACTATGGAACATATAAAACAAATGAAAGAGTAAATTCCCGAGAGAGCTTTATGTCACATTTTCCAACAATTTTTGATAAATTCCCGAGAGAGCTTTATGTCACATTTTCCAATAATTTTTGATTGTGATCCATGTGCAAGTCTGGCCAATCTAGATATAGAAGTCTATTGATAGTTGACTAGAGTATTGATGTCTCCGGTCATATGTTCATAGGCTTTTGAATTTATGATCTAAGTTCTAAATCTCTTATTATTGGCAAGATGGGAGATTGATATATTACCTCGGTATATCACGAGGTTGGCGGGCAGAATTCTTGTGGCTCCTCTGTTTGCTCGGAAAAGAGCTTCCTAAGGTTGTGTAGGATGCAACTTGCGGCTGCTCTACTTAGGGCTGGATTTTCTGCTAACATATGTAAGTTGTGATGCTCTGCTTTGGAAGACAGCAGAGAGAGGACGGTTGTTGTGGTGGAAGAGGGAAGGCCTGTAGGCTGGCTGACGACTGCAGGGAGGATTACGATGTTGGAAAGCTATGGGAGGAAATTCCTGCCGCTAGTTTCAATTGCTTGAGTAGATTTCCTGAGTCGGCCTGGCAGGAAGGAGGTCCAACTGCAGGAGGGAAGTTCGGCTCTGGCAGGATGGAGAGCTGGCTACTGGAGAAAAACATGCAGTAAAGCCTATTGGGAAG